GCATTCACAAAGGTCTTGTTATCCAGCTCTTCATTCCGACAAACCTCCCACAACTTAGGCCCTTTTCTCAGCCCATACAACAATCGGCGAAGCCTCCAAACCTTAGACGGTCCTATTAGACCTTCCCGGGATAGCACCTTTGGAAGCCTGACAAATGTTGTATCGTTGTCCATCGCAGCGTTGAGAAAGGCTGCCATGATATCAAGAACCAGTGCAGTCCAGCTCGAGTTGCTTGCAAGGCATGCCGCACTCCATCTGATATGCTCAATGGCCGGATTGGCACTGGCGTTGTCAGGATCATGACCAACCGTATTCTGCTCGTGGTTCCCACACACCACGATCCGTGCCTTTGCCCTCCAGGAGCTCAAAGGATCTGTAGGGTCCACTACCGCATCATCCTGAAGGGGCTTCTTCGTCAAGACCACCTTAGCCGGCAGCACCTTCCAACCCAGAGGAAGGTCAGCCTCATCCCACTCATCATAAATCTCCTTAGCCTGAAGCGTCTCCAGCTCAGGCTTCAATCCCTCATTCACCCACTTCCACTTCTCATCCACAGGTGTTTTCGGGTCAGACAAAACCCTCGCATCAATCGTATCCGTGACAAGCTGAGCTACTTCGACTTCCGCTCTGTTCATCTCTTGCTCAACCTCGTACGACAGGATTTTGTAGCGATCAAGTTTGTCCTCAGGCTTCGGTGTAGTCTTACACGGGGCCTTGGGTGCCACGTCCAGTGGCTCCTCCTCAAAGACCGTGGCGCGTGCCACAAACGGCAACCCTTGCTCCACATGATGTCCTTGCTCACGCTCTTCTACCGTCAGCATTCCCAGATCTACTCCAGGATCCCGGACTACCTCTCCATCCCGAACCTGCCCTGAAGAACTAACCCAGACCAGATCACCCAACGGAGTAACATGCGTTCTCCACTGCTCAGGCTTCTTGTCAATCACTGCTGGCAAACGCGTTGTAATCAAGTGCTCCTGGCCTGCCCTATTGACCAACACCAACGCGCCCTGCAGTGCAACATCCGACTGAGTAATGAAACGGCCTGGCTCAACCCTGGGATCAAAAGGTCCTGCATCCTGGACTGTCACAGCAACATAATCACCTGGCTCAGGCAGCTTTCCTTGATGCGGACGGTGCAATGCTCCGTCTCTCTGTCTCCTTGCAGCTTCGGCCATCATCAGAGGCCAAAACTTCTTATGCACATTCCCCCGAATCAGGAAGCCCCGCGCACGCTCTTTCAACAGACCAACTGTGGATCATAGCCCGTAGTTGTTGTCTTAAACACCCCCAAAGCATTGACCCCTTCAATCACCCGCTTTGCCAGGAACTCGCGCGCCTTATCCGAATGGATTCTTACTACCTGAGGTCGCTCAACGCAAATCGCCGACACCTGTGCCAGGATGCTCTGAAGGGCGGAAAACAACTCAGTCCACAATCTTCGCTTCATCGGTCTCATGAAATGTAGCTGCAAGCTGTCGTCAATCCGAAACACCGCCACTAATGCATACTTCGTCCCATCATAGGCTGCAGCATACGGCCCTGCAATGTCTATCGATAGCACCCCTTTCGAGACCTGATCAGCAGACACTCTCCTATGAGGACGTCGCAACCCACGGACTTCGAAGTCCTTCAAGGCATGTCCAGGCCGCTCGGGTGGGATCGTAAGATCTATCACCTCATCGGCGGTAGCTTCGAAAGCCATGGCCCTTCCTACAGACAGACCCTCATCACCCTCGGGGCATTGCACGCTACCCGTGCCTAGACCCTGAACTCCAACATCCCAAAAGTCCTGGAACCCTTGGAGTTCATCGTTCACACCCTGAACATCACCACCTTCCGAAAAACCCTGGTTCGTCTCAGAGGTTTGTGGGATCTGGGGAATGCTGTCCTCGCTCTCTGCTTCTAGCCTGCTGCTGCCGCGGTGATCAGTTCCTGCTTCTAGCATGCTGCTGCCGTGCTCGGTTCCTGCTTCTAGCCTGCTGCTGCCGCGCCTTGTTCCAGCTTCTAGCCTGCTGCTGTGGTACTCGGGTCCTGCTTCTAGCCTGCGGCTGCCGTGATGCTCGGTGTAGCTTGCTGTGCTGAGGCTGCCTGGGCTTGCACGCATACGCTCATCCACAAATCCAAAACTGCCAAGTTCTCGTAGCAGATCCTCCGAGACATTCAAGTGCCCCCTTGGCGTATAGCCAACGGCCACGCCCCGAACACCCTGGAACGGCTCAGTGCCATGCATCCGAACCGCAGCGTTGAATCGCACAGACTTGTGGGATGTCTCATGCAGCTTGCCAGCCTTTACTTCGCCCTCATTGTTGACGCACCGTAGCACGTTGTTGCCACTCTCACCAGGAAGCCCTTCGATCCAAAGTTGACCACCCTGAAACCTAGTCAATCCTAAAACCACTGACTCTCGCTCCAAGGAATTGCAATCACGATGAGGTCGAAACACCAAGTTGACTGCTATGCTGATAGACAGGAACTTTTTTATTATTTTTTTTGGTCAGGATAATGTTGGCGAACTAACTTGCAAAGAAGTCTTGCAAGCCAGGGGTGACGGCGCGTTTCCGATGTCACTCCCAGAACTCCCCCATGCACAAACAACCCAAACGTCCATAACGGCAAAGTCTGATCCTCGCCAGCAACCTGCTTTGACCGATCTGAGCGCCGTTCTACAAGACTCGCAAGCTGAACTGCACTCCACGCTTCGTCGAAAGTCTTCGAGCACAGCCCCTCTGCTCTGCGCTCGCCAGGGTCTGCAATTAGCTCCGCGGGGGCTGCTGTACTCTCCTCCTGAGCCTTTGCACTGTCGACGGCTTCAAAAGTTGGCATGTAATCAACAATCCTAAGAGCTCTGTCTTCTATCTTCATTTTTTTTTTCACGCACCTTTTTGAGACAATCCGCGACGCGATCCCAGTGCAGCTGGCCCAAACCCAAGGCGACGTCCTACGGCGTCAAGTCAAGGCTTGTAGCGGGAAAGCTCTGTCAAGGGCGCGGTGGCAGACGGCTGGCAAGGAGCGGGGTCTCGTCGAA